GGGGACTTTTTGTCAGCGGTACTTTTAACCCTTTATGTGCGGTACTCGATGCACCGCCACGACAACGGCTAACTAGAGTCGAGGTCCGAATCTCAGAGATGCCCTCTAGTTGAGCAGACCCCCTCAGGTTCGAGTGGTCTAGACTCTGGAAAAATATGCCAAATGTTTTGTTAAATGTCTTTAGAAAATAAGACTTAATTATGGCTAACGATTCGAAAAGACGCAAAAGTCTTTTCCCCGTATTTAAACTTAACTCTTAGAGAATGAATTTTCAAAAAAGTCATAGTATTCTATGAGCTCACCATCTTCTACAAATTGTTCATTTCTTGTAAATTTACGAAGTTGCATATCAACGTTTATTAAGTTTCAAAAAACCCTTCTTACTGCTCATTTACATCTTTGAAGGAATCAAGTACAAAATTTCGTGCTTCTAGGCTCGTAGTTATTGAGTTTCTTTCGGTGTAAGTTGCATTTTTTAAACAGGACAAGAGCTTAGTTGTCATACAAAACATAGTACCTAAATGTTAGGTGGAAACGGAAATTGGGGCAACAGCTAGTAATCCCTCATTACACCTAGCTGTAAAGGGCCGACCGAGGTCCCCCTAATGCGTGTCGGGAGCGCGGATGTGGTTGCGGCATCAACAGTACGTAGTGCCTACATCGCGATTCCGTAAAACGAAATTCAGTATTCCAGTCGATTTTATTGTATTTTCACGAACGTAGTTCACTGACGCAAAGATGTCACCAAGAGCGATTCACTTATTGACTCCTCAAATTCACAAGCACGTCAGCGCGGGCGGCCTCGCCGCTCACTTCGTGTCCGAGAGATTAGTTACTAATTAGAGATGTCTCCAAGGTATGAGGGAACATCACTAAAATCTACAGTTTTCGACACATACTTCTTCAATGAATATTTATAGAATTAATTTTCGTTCGAATCGAAGAAAACTCCAACTTGCAGGAACTTATGATAATGTATCTTGTTTTCAAAGACAATTTTACTCAATTTTTATTACTTATACGACGATTTTACTCAATTTTTATTACTTATAATATTCGTGGTTTCTTGCGTGGTAGCTTCATATTCATCAGTATATATTTGTAAGAATTGGTTGGTTTGGTTTACAATTTAGGAATACATTTTTTTAGTTTAGCCGTACATATTTGAGCATATGTCACCTTTTTCACATAAAAGCAAACGCGAGTGGAAGTGGAGTGGAGCGAATGTAACACTCAGTTGCAATAGAGTTAAAAAAATATTATAAGTTTAAGTTTCACATAACGGTACGAAACAACTGGTTTCGTAGCGTAATAAATAATTGTTATAAATAAATACGCGTGTGACGGAAAAATCTTGCACTTTTTCGCCAAGTCCCGACCGCCATGTCCGTACTGTCTGACAAGGAACTTCCTACCCAAAACAATATTCGTAGATATCCTTTTAAACACGTTGCTTGCAGGAGGATAGTAATATTTGTTCAATTGGTGTAGTAAGAGTTTATATGGAGAAGTAGCGCAGAAAACTAATAATTATGCATACACTTAAAAACATACATATAGAGGTAGTTGCACAGCGGGTTCTCAGTTCGATTTCAGGTAGCAACCTTCACCATAAAGAAGACCACAGTATAATTAAAACTACATTTTGGTGGTGTTGTGTTTCAGCTGGTGAATAGGGTAGGGTAGGGTTCCAGGGCTCTGCGGGGTAGAGAATTGGGTATAGGGTAGGGATTCAAGCTGGCAAGGTGACGATGGCTGCATCGGCACTCTTTCTGTCGTATTATCAATGTTCGCGACTGAACTCCATTTTCACTTAACATCAGGTGGGGTGTGATAATTTGTTGCGCCCTTAGAGCATTGCTCTAAGGTTGCGCCTGATATAAAAAATACGGATCCCTAAAAAATATAATAATTGTATTATCTTAACTGAATAATTTACGAGACCATGTACTAAACACACATTACAATTTTATATTTTATATTCGCTTCTATTCTACAATTAAACATGACTTTTTGATAAAAAGGGTAAAACCTGCGATTTAAAGATATTTTTTTTGTGTAAAAAATAGTTTGATCATAGACAATTTCAGACTTTCAACAATGAGAGCATAGAAAAACTTAGGTTTTACTTTACGCCTCACTCTTTAATCCTTAAATATTTTTTTTTTGTATGTAGATTTTTACTGCTATAGATGAAACAGAAATACTTACATAGTCTGTGAAATATCCGCCCGTTGTTCGTTGGTCATATAAAAACACTAAATTTAAATAAGAAAATAAAATTTTCCAGTTTTTCATTAACCGCCGATAAACTTATAAAATACTGTAATTCAATCTTTATAAGGCAATAAATTATCACGTAATATTATACTATTTGCCAATATTAGCAGCTTTTCGATTAGTCTGGGCGCGATTAGCAACTCGTGAGCGGTTAACCAAATACACCTGTTAACTCTATTATATTATGATAAATCCGGTGTATACATAGATACAGTTGAAGTTACGTTAGTGCATACAGTTTGGTACATTGATAGCGACTTATTATAATACTAGTGGCCCGCCCTCGCTTCGCTTCGGTACAAGCGTAGTAAAATGTCACTTTGACAAGTTGATAATTTACAAAACTCGCATCCAGCCTATTATTACCTAAGCGAGTGTTTGCTTCGCCCACGTACCTCCATCGCGTCTTTTCAAACGCTGCAAAATCGTGTGTTGCGCGGTGCCACGGATTGCCTGCAATCTCAAGTAAGACTCCATCGCAAAGTATATTAAGGACGCCTAGATGTTACTTCGATAAAGCCGCGCATCACCCGAATCCCTTAGTCAAATAAAAATAGAGCTCGGTAAGAAATGTCTTTGGTGCCATATACTGCTCTTGCTGCCCTCGGTTTGCAGCCGCTCCTCGCAGCCTGCCGCCCTAGACCATCTAGGGTAAATACACCCCTGTGAATTGGCCCTACACCATCTAGGGAAAATACACCCCTTTGAATTTGCCCTAGACCATCTAGGGTAAATACATGCCTGTGAATTCGACAAAACTTTATGTACTTAATATTCGACTTAAAATTTCCGCTTCTTTCACATCCATGACCCTGTTCATACTCACATGGTGCCATTTAGCTTTCGAATCCAATGGTACAAGTCCTTGATCTTGGCACTGACCAACCTTGGCAATCACAATGGCTCAATCGACCGGCGGGCTTCGTAAAATGGTTTTATGTTCGTATGATGTCAATCGAACCACAATAGACGTTGACCAACCTCCTTTTCAAGCTTATAAAATTCTATCTATGAATGGATGCAGTTCAGAATTAAAATACCGCTAATGACTTCCGCGACCGCAGGCCGATGATTAATTTATTGATTGTTGGATTATACAAATGTATTGTTGTAGCATCGCAACGAGCAGAGCGAGTTGCAAAATCTTGTCGGAGTTAACGATACGCTTAATATAATAACGTTTGCGTTCAACGTTTAAATAAATAAATAATTGCTGCTATCTTCGCGACTACATTCCACTTGCACTTAACATCAGACTTGTAAAAACCCGTCCAAGTGCGAGTAGGGCTTGCGCAAGAAGGGTTCTGTACTATTATCTATACAACATTAAACACTATATGATAATATCGAGCAAAAAACGGTTTAAAAATCACCTTTGCCGTATGTGAGGCCCTCTCCTCCTTAATTTTATAAATTTTAAAGTGAAGATACAACTAAATTACCTGCGAATGTTTCAAACGTGTACCTGTTGCCGTTATTAATACTTATAAGGTAAAAAACGGCAATAAATTGTTCTATGGGAGGCCCCTCACACCCTCCCACCCCTCCTCTTAAATATATATTTTATTCTGTTTGTAGCATTTGTTATTATAGCGACAACAGAAATACATCATCTATGAAAATTCTACTATCTACCTATCACGGCTGATAAGATACATCCTGGCGACATACAAACAGACACACAGACAGACGGACAGTGAGGTCTTAGTAATATGCTCCCCGAGTTTGCCCCTTAGGTACGGAACTCTAAAAAAAAAGAAATCAGGTCGTCTAATCCGCCTATCGTCGCCAAAAGTTTTTTTTTTGTCGAACTCACTATCACCCATTAAGTATCCTCAAACGGTTACTTAATAGGTGTAAAAAAATAATCAATGTGCCTTTTTGTCACCCACAAACCAACCCAATTTCTTTAGTTATGTAATCATCAATAAAAACTACAGTGATTTGTGTGGAGTCATCCGTAAAATTGACCCTGGTAAAAAGTGAATGAGTGGTAACTAATATCCTAATCTGGTTTTTTATTTATAAGGGCCGATGACATTCTGTTATAAATTACAAGGAAGACCAGGTTAATAATTAAATAGAACGTGCTTTTACGTTGATTAATTAAAACAAAATCTACTGTTACTTTACGCATCTTTCCGACAAAACAATGCTGGGAAGAATGTATATTTTGAAGGACTTGTTAAATTGTGTCAAAAATATTTTAATAACAATTCATTTATGATATTCAGCAATTAACCGTTTCAGGAAGTTTTACCATAATAATGGATAATCGGAGTATGTTACACTAAATAAAAAAAGTATATTAAGTACATTAGTGTTTTTTTTTAATTTTGACCCTTTTGACGTTGACGTAAACATTTTTGTATAGGGAAAATAAAAAATCGTATGAATAAATGAACCGAATGTGCACAACTGAATGTGTAGCGAGTGTGGCAAGGCGTCCACAATCTCGCCTGATGGAAAGCGATGATGAGGCCTGATGGTACATGCCTGGCTAGAAGATGCCTGTTCACTCTAGCCTTGAAGATGTCCCCATTATATTGGTCCGGTCCGAGGCAGGAGCAGTCTTAGAGATGGTTTTACATCTTCGCATTTTGTTTTCCAAATTCCAGTTTGACGCACATCGGTTGAATGGTTTCAAAGTCTTTATCGAACATAGGTAGAAACATTTTTTGTGTTTAACATTATTCAGATTTATTATTTTCTTTTTCCAGACCTCTTATACGAGAACTACATTCCCAATGACCCTGAAAAGCAAGACAGCATTTTGCGAAAATTATCAGCATACTGTGGCAAACCCATGTTCAACTTTACCACTGAAGATGAAGAAGAGCCGTACAAATGGGACTTTTACCACTCTTTTTTCTTTTCGTACACCGTCGTCAGTACTATTGGTGAGTGATAAATTAATGATTTAGCTATGATGCTATTAAAGTATATTAGACTTCACAATAAAACTAAAATAAACTGTTGATACCAACCCAAATAAAATGCTTAAGGATACCATTTTACATAAATGATGAGCATTACGTTAAATAAGTAATTATAGGTTTTCACAGTCTCGTCACATTTAAAGTAATTGTTTTCTAACCTTACACAAAACGTATATTTTAGTGAGTGCATATCAAGGAGATTTAAATACACTCAACCGCAAATAAACTGGGTCATCAGTTTCTACTCTGTATTTTAGTACCTTGGAACTCTGATTAGATTTTCAATCAATCTATCAAATTCATACCTACAAAAAGTGCGTTTCGTGACTATAACGATTCTTTCTTTCTTCTCCGATCAATTTCTGATAATTCTTTTTTTTTTTCAGGGTACGGCAACTTAGCTCCAACAGTCCATTTATCTAGAATTCTGATGATATTCTACGGTCTTTTTGGTATACCTATCAACGGTATCCTTTTAGCTAATCTCGGTGAATATTTTGGCCTTCAGGTAATAATATGATAACAGTTTTGAATTCTGGACTTAATTAATGTCGATCATATCTCTTAATAATCAAACAATAATTCCTCGTTTCAACTTTTTAAATTGTAAATAATACAAAGATCATAATAAAATCAGCGTACTTAAAGTTTCCATACTGCGACGACACACGCATTTCTTATGCGCAGTGTTGTTTATTAAAGTAAGCCCAAGCTCACTACTCGAGCCAAATTTGAAATAACCAATTTTATTGACAGCATATGCAACCGAGACCAATACAAAATATGAGCCATACAAAATAGGTATAGAACACAGTCATTATCATCATCAGCATATTAATTTCCCCAGTGCTGGGGCACAGGCCTTCCCTATGGATGGAATAGGGAGATTGGACCATGATCCACCACGCGGGCCCAGTGCGGATTGGCGGATGCTAATGACTAAGATGCAGCCGGGACCAACGGCTTAACGTGCCTTCCGGAGCACGGATGAACTCGAGATTGACCAAAGTACTATCGACTTATTTCCTAAATAAGGACAGGTTAAAATAAAAACTGGAATGTCACAATTGAAATTTGTTTCTTTTTTATTTCAGCTCATCAGTGTTTACCGCAAGTACAAAAGGCGTAACGTGAAACGTGCCAACAACCTCAGCTATTACTTCAGCAACCTCGGGATGTTGGGCCAGATCTTCCTCTATCTCGTACCTGGTTTCCTGTTCTTCATTTTCCTGCCTGCGTGCATCTTTGTCGTCTTCGAAGGATGGGACTATGTTGCCGCGGTTTACTACGCCTTCGTCACGCTCACTACTATCGGTTTTGGCGATATAGTTGCTGGTAATTTTTGCTGGTTTTGAAATTTTCATATAAGATTTTGTTTTGTTTTAAGTAGATACATTAATTTGAATCTATAAAGATATAATATAGCTATGTATACTTCATTCATTAGTGTACTAGGGTACTAGCCTTCTTTAAAGACGAATACATCATACAATCCATAAATAATAACGTATGTCCAAAATAATAAATTTTAGATGACCGGTAATCGACAAAGTTGAGATTGTTTTACTGCTTCTACCCTTGTAGACTAAATTTGCCAAGTAAAGCCACAAAATAAATATATTTTAAACATTTAACTGCTAAATGTTTAAATCTTAAGAAAATTTTACTAGAAAAAATTCCACGTGGATCAGGTAGCAGACAGAACTCGAATCCGCACCCTTCGCCATCCGGGCGAATACATTGACCATTATGCTACCGCAGTCCTGATGGTTGTTTCAAATTTTCTCTAGCCCTTCTTAGGCTGCAAGACAGTGCCATCTCTTCGCATTGTAGTGTGCATTAAAAAAAATATTTTTGTTAAAATATTGTTCATAATTTAAATTAATTCCGTAATGATAACCACGTTCTATCTGCGATAAGGGTAGCTAAGCAATACTTATTATGTCATCTAACAGAAAGCGGGTGACCAAAATTCATTATCTTGAGCTTCAGAAGTCACGTTTTAGCGCTTGGTTCCGATTGATTCTGCGTCTCAAATTAAAGTTTTGCATTTATAATAAAAACGTAAATTTACAATTTCAGGTACAGTCAACAATGGATTCAAATATGGGTATTTCTTCACGTATCAAATCTTCCTCATAGTCTGGATTACTTTTGGACTTGGATACATCGTGATGCTTTTGGGATTCATCACCAGCGGCATGCGATCAGAGAGTGTGCACAGGATTGAGCAAAAATTGGCTTATCAATTAAAATCCACCCAAAATAAAATCTTGCAAAGCTTTACAAGAGATATCACTAATATTAGAAAGATAATTAACGAAGCCAATCTTATTAAATTAAAGGTGAGTTTGAATATATATTCTTCAGAATTTTGTTGTTTTTTACTTATACGGAAAGCGACCATAATAATTTAAAGACGATAACGATACCAGAGTATCATTTGCGCGACAAACTTCGATTACCTAAACTCCTACCCCGTCGAGCGCTGGAAACCATACTTACTGATAGAAACACTACCAAAATTAAACTTATTTTGTGCGTTCTAGGAACTCGAGTTATTACTTTTGAATAATATTTTTATTTTATTTTCAGCCCGTTTACGTTGATACCGCACCGTATCTGTACCGAAGTTCAAGCTGCCCCACATTCACATTTGACGTGGAGCCAAGAGGACCAATCGTAAAAAGAAGACGTGCTAATTCAGAAAACATTCAACTATCCACAAAAGACTTACTTCGAATACAATCAGACACAGATTTACTTGGAATCGATAAAGAAAAGACATTCAGTGCTTCTGCTATTGTAAAACCTGCTGAGCTGCTAGCTAGAGTTGTGAATGTACTTGGAGGATTAGAACCACAGTCAGAGAAAGGAATACATATGTTTGATGACGATCATATTTTATCAAGTGAAAAACCACCATTGTTTAGCATAGGTCAAAATATTATTACAAACTCTCCTAAAAGGGGTAGGGCCTTAAGTGTAGCAGTGCCAAACTATAGAAAAGACTCAGTGACAAAAGTAGATGATCATGACTTCACATGGACTAATGGTGATTCAGCAGAAAAATTCAGGAAGGAAGCTAACTTCAGAAGTGGTAAGTTATCACTTCCAAGCCAAATTACTCCAGCGGCTGTTGAAGCGACCACTCAGCCTAGAAATCTACTTCAAAGGCTCTTTAGGAAGTCCAGTTCGACTGAAAGTGCCGACGAATATATTAAAAATACTTCAAAAGGCAGAAATAGTGATCAGCAAAATGTTAATGAAAATAAACCTCAACCCAGACGCGGCAGTATATTCCCATCATTCAATTTCGGTAGCTCAGAGAAAAGTGACGAAGAACTTTACAAAGAAAAAACTAAAAAGGGACGGTCCAGTATTTTTCCTACCTTCGATTTCAATCGAAGTAGTGAAGATGATATGGCTACTGCTTATAAGGAGAAAACTAAACGTGGTCGGCATAGTATATTTCCAACCTTTGATTTTTCTGAAGACGAAGATAACGCTGCTTTTAAGGCTTATCAACATAAAACGAAGAGACATAGTATTTTTCCCACATTTGATTTTAGCGAAGATGACGATGAAAGGGAAGCAAGAGCTTACCGGGAAAAAACAAAATCAGGAAGACACAGTATTTTCCCTACCTTTGATTTCAGTGATCCAGAAGAAGATAATATGGCTAAACGATACAAAGAAAAAACCTCGAGAGGAAGGCACAGTATTTTCCCATCATTTGATTTTAGTGGCGTTAATGATGACGAGGATGATGATACACTAGATGAAGAAGAAATAAAGAAATATCAAAATCGAACTAAAAAAGGGAGGACAAGCTTATTTCCTACATTTGGTAGATCAAAGAAAAGTGACGATGAAACTATGCCAGAAAGTTCAGACGAACTAGTAGAGTACAAGAACAAGACCAGTCATGGTCGATTTAGTTTGTTTCCTACATTTGGCAAGGATCGTAAAAATAGTTCAAATGATGAACCTAGTGACTTAGAGGCTAGTATTCGAGAGTATCAAAAGCAAACCAAGCGCGGTAGGGGTAGCTGTTTTTCCGGTGGTTCTAGTACTTCAGGGGCTAGCACTTCATTCGCGGATGAATTAGAAAGCTATAAAAATCAAACCAAACGTGGTCGAGGAAGCTTATTTGATCCCGATGTCAATCTTTCTGAACTATCTGAAAACGAGCAAGTGAAAGTTCTTGAACAAACTAGTGTAGCTGACTTGATACGTGCTATGGCTGTCCTAGAAACGGCAACGCATAGTCCAGAGCCGCGTGGGTTATTAGATTTAATATCAGAATCAGTTGCACCCCCTAGAAGGCGGGGTTCTCTACGGCCGGACTTTGCAATGCCAACTCCTAGTCACGATGAGACAGAAGAGGTCCCAGGTCCTAGACGTAGGAGAATTTCAGCAAGAGCCGCTGCTCCACTTTTTGCTCCAACTTTAGAGACGGTCGTTGCCGGAGCTGAGTTACAAATAACCGCGGCTGCCGCTAGAGAAAATCGCATGACTATAGTAGCAGCACCTCCTCCATACTCTGAAACAGATGGAGGTAGTGGCAGTAGTGGAGAACAAACACAAAAACCGCGAGTTAGGAGATATTCTCCAGCTCCGGGTGACCCATCTAAATCAACTGGACCAGTGCCTAGACTTTTTTCGCGCATGCGCAAAGACAGTACAAATGCGGAAGAAGGTAGTTCGAGACGTAGTAGTTTAACGGATATAGTAATTGATAATAATAAAGACAATACGTAATCTGATGCCTTTTCAAAGCCTTTAGTTCAATTTAATGTAGATAGGTATACAATTATTACATTATACTAGAATTTAAAAATAAATTATTTAACACGTATTAAATTATAAGCCGTCCAATGCCACAATGTTTTTCATTTTATACCACTCTCATTTATTACATAACTAATAATAATATTAAATGACTAATAACTCCTAAACAAAATCTATCAGCAAAGTTTTATCTACTTAAATCTCACTGAGTCGTTAGAGTCACGATATCCTAGATAAAATGTTCTTAAATACGCTATATTTAAGATTTTGCCAGTACATTTTATGGCTAATAAACACAGCTGCATAATCTAAAGAAAGTTTGACTAGAAAAAAATCTACGCGTACCAGGCAGCAGACGGGACACGAACCCGCACCTTCCGATGCACTGACCATCGGACTATTGACCACTGTTCAATATGCTACCGTGGCCCTAATGGCCAAATATTTTTAGGCTGCAATTTTATTCTAATAAAATTTTCTTTAGTATTAACATCTGGCAGTTAAATTTTGATTAAGAACATTAATCTTTTTACCCGGCTGCGTTTGATTTGTATGATTGCTTCAGTGCTGGTTTTGCCTGTCAGTTAGATATCAGCAACGAAGCCCTGAGGAACAAATCGGAAACTAATCCGAAAAACATTAAATTAGTACTAAAAATAAAATATTTATATTGGATGACTCTATTTTCTTTTATTAGTAGATATTTATAAAAAAATTCTGTTCTGTATAACAATAAAAATAAATATTTAAAAATAATTTTAAAGTTTGACTTTGATATCGACGATACAGAACAGAGATTTTTTTATGAGATTCATGCTTAAAACCATGATACGATTCTTACTAAATAGAGGTAGCAGCAAACTTCTTCATGTGTGAAATTGCTACTGCGTACTCATTTATTATTTAGATTCTATGCGGTTTCGAATTCTATCATGGTGTTGCAGATGATATTCAAAAGTTTTTTTTTTATAAAAACATAGATCTTATGCTCAAAGTTTTGAGCTGGGAAGACCGCGGCCCGTTTGACCAGCTGCTAGTCAAACATGTGCGTGGAAGGAAATCCCAGATTCAATTTCATTTACGGTATTTCCCCTAAATATCTTCTTGTCATAGTTCCATTATGTAGTCAATCAAAGTAACATTTGAATAAAAAAATACATAATCATCAGGTTATTCATTTCCCCACAGCTCGGGCATAGGCCTTCCTTAAGGATGGAATAGAGAGACTGGCCGTAACCTACTGCGGTTCCAGTGCAGATTGGTGGGTGCTAACAACTGCAGATGCAACCGGAACCAACGGCTTAAAGTGCCTTCCGAAGCACGGAGGAGCTGGAGATGATAAGGTTAACGCCCGTATTACAGAATGACAACTAAGTGTTGATCTTTACTTAAGGTACAGTTAGAATGGGATGTCGCTATGTGATATATATAGCGACATCCCTTTCTAACTACGCTGAAGACTAGATCAATCACTGAGAATCTTTCTATAATACGGACCTTAGTCACCCATTGAATGACGCTTGCTTTCACGATCGCAGGCCGTATGCGCTAACCACATGTACCATCGAAAGAAATACATAATAGCCTCAAAATACTTACCATTGTTTTCAATTAGAAAAAGATCCACCCATTACAAACAGTGTATTTTTTGTCAACAAGTTTTCATGGGTAAATATGTTTTCTTATATTGAAGATGCGAAATAATAATATTTCGATATTATACGTTACATTAGAAAAAAAAACAGCGGCGGATATAGTAAATTTTATTAAGTACGTCTCATGACCCGTAAGGTTCATTTACTAAATTCATAATTAATAAATCATTGCTCAGGTCGAAATTTAATCACAAGGAAATTCACTCCGCAATCTTAAGGATATCTTTGCTACCTAACTCCGAACTTTGCGACGTAACTCCCCAAGATTACCACGAAAAATTTAATGAACCATATTCTCTAGGAAAGCCCCGTATTTAAGATGATGGAGAATTATACGAGAACTTGCATGAATTGATCTAGCTTCTGATGTTCATGTATATCCACTCTACTCCTAAAAACAACTAAGTCTTCATGGCATTGCAGAAAGGCCTATTAAGCTTTTATTTAGAAGAAGCTCGAATTCATACGATTGATAAATTTAGTTTAAAGGTATTTTATTTGCAGATTCAGCAACGCTGAGTTATTGAAGAATTCGATATAAAATAAATAATACCTACTTAAAAACTACCTAATGTATAAAATTTAAAAACAGATCACCTTAACCTACTTAAAAATAATATCTAATTTACAAAATGAAAAATAAGTCACCCCCGGCGCCGTCGTCAGGAATGGTGCCCAATAGGCTGGCAGCATTGCCACGTTGAATGGCAAGACTGATCCGTTGACCAAGATAGCTGCCAGCCTTTTGGTCACCATTCCTGACGGCGGCGCCGAGGGTGACTTATTTTTCATTTTGAAAATTAGTTTTTTTTTTATTTTTTTTTTACCACCAGTCATAACAATATGAAATTATAATTGGCACTGGTAGCTGAGCTTTTAATCTAATTTGACTTGGTTGGAATCAAAATAAAAAACGTGAGATACGTGATATAATTTAATTAGTACCACCATTATGTGATTAGTCTTAACATGTATTTGATACCAAAACTAAAATGTACGTATCCATATTTACACTAATATAGTGTAGGTACTTAAAGAAAAAATAAATAATGTAACGAATTTGAATCTAACAAACGTAATAATAAATTGGAACACATTTAACATTGATTCACAATAACCAAATTAATAATTCCATAACTATTCAATAAACGTAAGTAATGATAATTTCAAATTATTTGGTTCGACACATTTTTAAATTTACAGTAATAGTATTTTAAGGTTATATGAAGGCAGTCGAGGTTTAAACTTAAATGAATCGGTAAGGATTAATATAAACAAGTCGAATAACATTATAAAACTATTGGTGGTGATTTTATCCTACATACTAAATTGAGTATTTCAAACAACTTAATATTAATACAGAACGGTTTTTTCCTTTAAAACTAAAGCTATTTACAATAACAAAATCAATATTAAATGATGTTACATCGTCGCGAACTTTGGACATAGAGCGATCTACATCGAGTCACGTCCGTACATTTAGTACGGAGAACACAAAGCGTGTACATAAGTCACATCTCCTAAGAGAATCATTGTTCAAAATCAAGTCGCGAGCCGATCCTGTCTTAAGTTTTTATCTAAGTCTAAGCTGAGGTTTGAATAGGATTGGTCTATGGTAGTTTCTTTTGTAATGGTCTCGAATATTGATATAAGGTTGTCGATGCCAATTAAGTAGCCATCTTCGTGGTTTCCGACTTTCCAGACAGTGTTGTGGTCGATATTGACGGATTCGGGAACGGAGACAGTCTTGGCGAAGTCTATCATCCAGATAGAAGCGCGTCTCTTGTCGTGGACGAAAAGTAGAGAGCTCCCGATGAGCTCGTGCGTTCTGAAGAAATGCGATTCTTGGAGCGTAACGCGAATATTCCGCAATCTCTCCAAGTATTTGGGCTGTAAAAGAAAGATATATTTTAATTCATGTGTTATAAAATTAACAATATTTAACTTCTAATGGGCGAAATATTGAAATGTCCTAATTAAGAACTTTCTAGTCTTAGAGAGTAAACTCTTTGTCTTTTCATGAATATATAGTTTGCCTAACAGCAATATCAGGCGATAGTGCTGGCATAAAAAAAAATATAATTTGAAAAAATATTATACGATCAATATTTTAGTTTTACAAGCTATTTTGCTCTTGATGCAAATTTCGTGGCTACAAATATTCAGAAACTAACGTATTACCAAGATATCTAAAATTGAAATATTTATAAATACAGGCCCACAAAAAAAAGTACTCTGCGCGATAGACCAGACTACCTGAACTTTATGTTTCCAAAAACATACGACCCCAAGGTCGAACTTTATGTTTTTGGGGTCACTGAGTCCAAATATGGTGCCAGAATAGCGAAGTTGGTTCGCATTTTTTTAAGAACATAAACCATATTATACGAAAAACTTAAATTTTCAGCATTATTGCTGATTTCTGAAAGTTTTTTTTTTGTGGGCCTGTGTAATTATGCCGATATTAGATCTGTTTTAAAAATTTTCTGTCTTTTTAACAAAACGTTGATTAAAATTAAGCCCGGTCTAAATATGATGCGGTCACCTGCAGTTTGTTCAAAAGAAGAGAGACACAGCTTTTTGTATAAACCAAATATAACTTTAGTCCACATTAAATAAAACTAGTTTTTACGGGTTAATGCACGAAACTTTATTTAGTGAGTGATGTGCGTGAAAACCTAAGAAACAAATATGTTTAGTCCACATTTTGAAATAAGCCAGACAAAGATTGAAATTTGACAAATACTACCCCGGTACTATTTATAGTGTTATCTGGTCGTATCTTTACCCTTGTTATTATTATTAATAACAAATAATTTCTTGGACTACTTACACAGTATTTTGTACATCACTCAAATGCAATGTTTTATTCAATGAATAGAGACAAGACACTTCGTTATACTTGTTCAAGCTATTCATTTAAAAGTAAGAAGATCAAATTAAAAAAAATATCGTACTGATATTTATATATCTCATTTTGTTTTAATGTCCTAATGATGAGAACTTCGTGATCAACTAAATATGCATTTTCTTTCTCACGTTATAAGTAAATCAGTTTTTACAACAATATCTCATTTCAATCATGTTCTAGGTTTATTTACGCCTTTAATAAAAACTGGTAATTCATTGTAATTGCTTTAATAGCTTGTTAGATGTTGTGGGAAAACTGTTGATTATATATCCACAATAGAAGATCTAGCGTCATCAACACTGCTCTATTACTGTTTATGGCATCACTTGTTTACAGAGTGTCAAGCTATTTAACCATATCATATACTAGACTATTTTTATCAGCGTCAATTTCAAGTTCATCATTTACAATTGTTTTATTTTCTTTTTGACTCTGAGTTTAAACTGCGATTATATATTTCAACTTAAATTTCATAAAATTACAAAAGACGCGTATAAAATCTTAACTCGATCAAATAATCTTTTAATATATGTCTTTAAAAATTATTTGAGTTTCATCAAGAATAACATTTTTCAAACGTAAAATTCATAGATTACAAAACATGCATAGAAAACCTTAACTCAGTCAAAGAATCTTGCACCAATGTTCTTATATTAAATTAATCGTATTTCAGACATTATTCCATATTTATCAATTGTTTAAACTCAAATAGAATCTCTATTGAGGCTTTAAAATGACTATCTTTTAAATTTGAATCAAGAACTTGGCATTAGTGGACATGAATCTAAGTTCCATAATGTAACTTTAACTTACCACTGAATTGGGGAAGTTGTTGGTAAATTCCTTGAAGGATTCCACTATCTGTTCTCTAGTTTTAGTAGTTTTGAAGTCTTTAGAACTCGTTCCATCAGCTTTCTTGACTCCTTCTATCCGAAAGCCAAGGGTTGCTGTAGAACTGATTGTCTCTCTCCATATCATATAACGTGGCTTTGTAACGCCCTTACTTCTGTGTTCCTCTTCTGTTGGAGCTTTTGGGTCTATTTGTATCATTTTTTCGTACATATCCTGAAAACAAAATATGATACGTTCAGAAATGAACACAAATACGTTATTTTTGGTAGCAGTATCATTGTATAGTTGTTAACTGTTAACCTATTTTTTCAGGTTTATGAGCAGTAAAATGTTAGTTAACGTTGGTTTACAATGAATGAGCTCAAAAGCATATATCTCGAATATCACACATTAGTATTTTTACATTACTTTGTTTTCTCTAAGAAAATCTAATTATAATTACTGGGTTACTCTATAATCTACACAATTATTTTTTCTCTTTAAAAATAATGTATCATTTACAGAAATTAGTTTTCTATGGCCTGCTTTACTTTGAGATCGATAAAAAGACAGAAAAGTGTAATTTCGGTAGAATTATACTAAGGAATCATAAAAAATCTGTTAATGAAAAAATAGATGATACTTAGTTCCAAACAATCCAGACTCAAGAAAAAATTATTAAGGTCTACGAAACGTCAATAAATAAATAAAGTTTTGTGCATGAACCCGTTACAACTAGTTTTATTTAAGATAATTTTCTGCATTGATCAGATCAGGTCGCGAAGACCACGGACTTTTGTGAAACTAATCCTGCGTTTACTTTTCACTCTTTTTATCGTTTCCTACTTAATTTACTTTAAACTTTTTTCTACTTACTTTTCTTAGCTTAGTCTTCTCTTTTGCCTTGGCGAGTTCTTCTTCTAGATATGTTCTGACTCCGATTTTGCAGTCCATGACGCAAGGGCTATCGAAGTTGCTCAGTAAGTCTTGCAATTGTAAATATACTGTATGGAAGGGCTTAGTCAAAGAAATTACGAGTTTTGTGAATAATTTGCAATAATTGTGAGTCAGTTTTTGGTTTTGTTATAAGAGATGACGATACAGAAACTGTGTTTTGTAGTGTTAATCGATTATGACGAAAAGAAAGAAAAAGTGAACATTGCTAAATATTCAACACATCACACGGAAAATATATTATATTGTATTATTATATTGTCTAGCAAGAGACAATATCCTTCTAAATGTTTATCTGCCAGATCATCACTAATGTTTTTGGGCGAAAACAGATGTGGTCAATGTTACCTATAAGTCGTGGCTATCAGATTGATATGAATGCTAATTCATTTCTTCGTCTTTTAATGCACATTGTTGTTCTGTCTAAGAGATAGAGTACAGGAATTTGTGTATAAGTACATTATGTGTTCAGTGGATTCATATCCTAATTACCAGCCTATTAATGCCCCCACTGCTGGGGTACAGGCATTCCATATGGATGGAATAGGGGGCCCGGTGCATATTGGTGGGTGCTAACGACTGCAGGTGCAGCTGGGACCAACGGCTTAATGTACCAAAGTACAGAGTACTACCCTAGCTCTAGATAAGTTTTTGGTCACCCATCCAATGACCGCCCAATGCAATCGCAGGCCGACAGCGATATCCACCTGCGCCATCGAGCTTTATTTATTTATATAAATTTTGTGTACATAAAATGTATAACGATGGCTTTTGATATTTCGAAAAGGATACATTCTCCATCTTCGCTGGTCACTTGACCCTTGTATTCGGGCACGAACGGTCTCAATACGTCCTTCATCAGCAACTGAAATAATAACAAATAGTTTTCCGTTAATGAAAGAGTTCAACATAATTATTTAGTTAAAGTATAAGTTTGCCATATGGACATAATCACTTAAGATAAAGATAAAGAGGCCAACCACATAGGTCTGGCTCGAAATGGCAAGCAGGATATGACTACTTACAGGACTACTTTATCAATAGTATCAGTAGTGTTTTGTGGTCGTAGCAAATACATCAACTCGGGAAGGATATCGGAACAGGTTGAACTCGAGCAGTTCAGTATGAAACTCCTTACTGCAATGCACATTAATCAGAATCGTATCGTTATCACCTCGCCTCAGGACGAGCTTTTCCGTGTTGTAAAATGATCAACTCGAGTTGATACAGTGTGCGATCCCTGTCCGAGTTGATGTGTCCGCTACGAATTTTGAAAATACTAGTGGTCGGCTATTGGCCGAAATTTGACTTTAGGAAGGGAAGTCCATATTTTTAAACGTAGTTTTTTCTGTCAAATATGACATTCTTCTGGCAAAGATTTTTAAAATATTCCGTATTTGTAATGTGAATTTTGATGATTAAATAACGATTCAAATTCTTGATTTAATGTATGTATGATACATAAACAAGTTAGCTATTTGTACTCTTTCTCCATTTCAACTTTACGTACGAAAGTTTTTCCTTTACATATTTCTAAAATAGGAGTCGGATTTGACCAAAGAAATGTTACACATCCGCAAAAATAACGATCCTTTGAATAATTTGCTTCAACTACGCACTCGACTTTGTTTTTACACATATTTCTAACGATGCTCGTGTGATTTCATAAAAAGTCCGGTAGAAAACATTTATCAAATTTCCAAAAAAGAAAAAAAAACCTATATATTTTTATTGAAATTCGTATACAGCTGCTAAAAATAAGTAATAAATAAGTTTGCTCATTTTAAAAATATTATTACCAGTAGAACTCGTTATTCTACATAATCTTATATTTAAACTGGTAAAGGTCTCTTTGCGTCATCTTTGCATTGTTAACGGTCTGTTTTATTAACGTCAACGCGTATTATCTTCCTTCTAAAATAACCCGTTATCATTACCCACTTTATCTCTGGCTAAAAGTAGTTCTAATGACCCCAGCAAAGCAATTATTTAAAAGTATTTTTATGTGGAAATGTTGACATATGCTATTAACGAAAAAATACGGAATAACAAAAAAATGCTCCTAATTATAAACAATTAAGACAAAAGTTATAGGAAACAGAATAGTTACGATGATGAATAACATACTAGAGCAAAATGACTAGACAAAAGTAGACTCAGAACAAAATGTCACTGGTTTGAAGAAAATGGAGAAAATATGACGAATAATATAAGTAATAAAAATTGAGTAAAGTATTGACGTTTGAAAACAAGAAACTGCTTAGCATTGACGCACTAACCAACCAATCGTGGCACCTTTTGCGTTCAAATTTAATTCTGTTTGGTGCATCACCATATGCGTAATTGTACTTGTTTTTTTTTGTAATATTATACTCAACTCATTCTAATTATACTAAAAGAACTCAATAAACTCCATTTATTGAGGTCATTAATTTAAAAATTGTTTTTATATGTCTAAGATTAAATCAAAAAGGGAAGATACGGCACTAGCGTCTCAAAAGTGTACCGCTCAAAGTACGTGCATGCACACAATTCGATTTAATCACAATTTTAGAAGCAAAAACGCCGCATGGGTATCCATAAAACAATATTGTGGATATTATGTGTTAAAAAGATAAAACGATAATTGCAAGACGATAAGAACAAAGGTAGTTCAAGAACAAATAACAAACGCCACGGCATCACATTCCAAACGAAATATAAATATTTTCTCTAAAATCACGGTTTGGTCATTAATGTTATTCGAGTATAAAAAAAACCATTTACTAACCAGAAAAGGACAACGACGCAACTAAGTCTATAAATAATATTGTTGATCGAAGACAAATATAACAGTAATGTAGAGGTTATCCGAACACAAGGGAATTTACTGCCGGGGAAAATACAGCAACGATAATTTTACACCGACGTTCTTAAAATGTACTTTACATTTAAAATGATAATGTAACTCTGGTAGCGCCAAACTAACACACGTAATTGCGGTTAAATAAGCTTAATTGTACTTTATTGTGTGTTACAAAAATCCCGTTTTAACAAACTATCGTACGTAATTACGCGCGAAAACCCCATGAGTTCGTTAAGAGTCTTTGATAAGTTTGTGGTTTAATTTAATATTATTAATAGCTTTTACCCGTAACTTGATCGTGAAGAGATAAAAAAAAATATTTACTTTGACCTTTTCAACGTAATTCCCAATTATATTCAATGATATATCATAAAATTAATGCTTAAAGGAAAACCTTTGTACTTCTTTTTAAGCATATTTTGGGCTTGGGGAAGTGTGATATTTCCGTTTTTTATGTTCAAACGGGGAAAAAACCATATGGCGCGCCTGATAATAAGCGGCCACCATAATCTTACCCCTTACCCCGTAGAGCCTCAGAACCTTACCCACTGACAGAAACTCAACGCCAAAAGATAGTTTTATGTGTTCTTCTCTAAGGTGGGGTTATTTCCCCCAAACGGGTGCTTACATTTGAACGGGAAATCCGCTATGCCCTACCTTCCATAAATAATGAATAATTAAAGTTTACTTGGGCAAAGTTTGCAGAAAGCTACTAAGAATTTTTGATTAATAATACATTTACAAATACGTTAAAGTAATGAAAACACACAGTAATTTATAGAAATATACTCTGACAGAAGAACCACTTCATAAAAAAAGTTTATTTTTTGCCAAAACACAAATATTAGTTACTTATGTAAAATACGGAAATTCCTTAATTCTCGATCCCAATATTGGGAGGAAACTGTTTAATCTATCGAAAACACACGGCTAAGCGATTGATTACTAAAGCTGTAATTGTAAAAGCTGTATTTGGACTGTTTTAAGTCCGTTTGTTTCAGTTTCTAAGTTACACATATTCAATCAACGCAGGAAACCTTTTGCTTTAAAAAGCTAGTATGGGAAGCGGCAAGCTTCTTGAGCAAAACCACAGACAAATAAACCTGCGCAGTAGATGTTTTTGTATGTAAAATTGCTACTGCGCAGGCTTCCTTGTCTATGGTCGATGCTCAAGAATATTGCGGGGGTATAAACCTAATGGTTAATCTAACAAATCTATCGTCAAACGTTAGGACGATCGAAGATCCCCAATAAGATCGCGTAAAAAAATCGCTGTCATAGACAATGTACAGCACATAGCGACATCCCTTTTCAACTGTACTCAAGTAAAGATAAACACTCAGTTGTCATTCTGTTATACGAGCCTAAAACTAGGTGCACAAACTCACTTTAAAACAGGTCTCCTCTTGGGGACACAGTTTCTTAAGTATCGTTCCTTGGTCTGGCCCAGCCTTGAAGTTCCCTTGGTGACCAGCCAGCTGGATCCATGGGTACCTCTGCTTCTTGTACGTCTGGAAGAACGGCGTCCACTGCACGATGTTGCGAAGCTTGCGCCATCTTTCGGATTGCTGGAAGAATAAAAATAGCATGTCAATTCTAATCTATCTAGATCAATAGTAAGCACTAGAAACTTTATTGAATGTTCTTTAGGTCAAAGCAAATATTAAGGGTGAGGCCAAACGAGCGTAATTTTGTGAGTGGTGAGTCGCAGAATTTCGGTCGCAGAAATTCTGCTGCATTCGGTTTCATACAAAAAGGCAGTTGGTACCACACGACAACGCAAAATGAGTTGTCTGCCGACTCAATGCGCATAAGCTCGTCCGAATTTCGGTCGGGGTGAGGGTAGGGCAAGGAAGGGGAGTGGGGAAGTAACAGTTTGTTTCAAGTTGCGTGGTGTAATAATTCTTGAAAAACACGTAATGGCATATGATAGTACTTTTCAAACATATCTGGATTTGCACATAAACGTTCATATAAAGTATGGAACTGTCCACATATCAGTCTCTGACTATTCAGTGGGTTTACCCAGTTTCTTTTTCTGGCCTCATCTTCTGAATATGCTTCAATATTTTTAATGGATCCATTGCACTCGACGACACGAACACCTCGTACTAACGCTCAATAGTAACTGAATAAATTACGTTCGTATGGCAGCTCAACAGAAATTCAGTTGAACGTAAAATAAGTGACCGAAAATAAGCGACTCACAACTCACAAAATTACGCTCGTTTGGCGTCACCCTAAACATCAGTAAAAACTCAAAAAACTATAAAATTGTCCTAATGGTTCGCAAATCATTTTGTATTTTTCTCCTCGTTGTATTTCATCATCGCAAGCTATTATAATAATTTATAAACAACTATTATGCATGTATATTTCCAACTTGGCATTTATACTTGGCATTTAATTGACTATAATTGTTCTAGGTATATCACTGTATTGGTGCTCATTTACGACGCTATGAGTGTGGTCAATATTATATTTTTTACTTAACTATATCTAAGATTTGTAATGCTCCGGCAACACTGTTGCGCGAAATCACGAACATTTTCCGTTTTAACGACAAGTCGAGCGAAGCAATAGTTATATTTCAGAACACGATCAGAGATATATTTGTGATTGCTTGGTAAGATGCGTCGTGAAAACGGCAAAGTTCGCGATAATACAGTAGTGTGGCCGTAGCATTAAAATAATCTTTGCCAGCCTTTTAAAATTAAGTAACAAGCAACCATCAGAATAATTAAAAATTATGTCACGATGTAACACGCAAATATGCCATCAAGCCCCTCTGACATAATATGCAATAAATGTTCGACTTTGACTCAGTTTATACGTATATGTATATCTGTTACATAATGGTGTGCTGCATGAATCACGGTATGCAATAATTTTATGATACAATAGGGATGATGATTTTTTATTTTTCTTCGATTATCAGGTAGATTATAAAAGTATTGGACACGTATTTTTTCTTTTTTCACATAATATAAACATTGCAGAGATATATTGATTTGAAAAGTCGCATAATGTCACGTTTTGGTACAGCTTTCACTTAAAAGTGACGTCACGAGCCCCTACTCCCAAACTTTGACGCGCCATAACTTTACCATTTTTTGGTTGATTGCCCAAAGAAAAAATACGTGTCCATCATTTTTTGATCATCTAACTGACGGACTAAATAGAATTTCGTTTACTGTACCCCGTCATCACCCCTATTGTATTATTACTAATGATTCAGTGAACAACGTTAATTCTAACTAAATAAAAAAATGAATTTAATAATAAATAAAAAAAATCTTGGGTTAATTTCACTTTGAAAACCGTTTACATTTTTTTGATTGCGTATTCTGTTGGTCGCAGATGACGTTTCCTTCTCCGTCTGGAGCCTCTAGCCCACTCGCGTCTGAAAGGGTCGGCTTAACTAGAGGGTGTCTCTAAGAGCCGGACCACGGCTCTAGTTAGCCGTTGTCGTTGAGGGCGGGGAAAAACGCCCAGGTACGCAGCGGTACCTGGTATAGCGCGTAGTGTGTAGACTGAGTCTTCCAACTCTCATCCTATGGGTGCGGTGTCTGCCTATACTAAGCTTGCGTGCAAGTATGCTAGCTGTGTAGTGTTGGTGTTTGTGGTTTGTGTGGGAGGAGTCGGAGGCGCGTTGGCGCGGGTGATTTCGTCGTCGGGGTATTCTAAGACTGTTTAATACCACTTAATCTATATAAACGTACACAGTAGTGTTAACGTTTAAATAGATCAAGTGGTATGATAAAATACAATCGGTAAACTATTTATACATTTTCCAACGTGAAAAATGCATGCGAACAAATTATACAGAATAGTAGACTTCGTTAATTTGAGCAACAGCAGCAATCAAGGGAAGCAGTATCAAATACTGCTTCCATTAAATACACACATCAAAAGTGTCTAGGGATCAACATATATTTTTGCAATAACTTTTCTCCTGATTGATATTAATTAAAATTTTCTTTAAGGATTCATCAAATAAAGTGTTTTCGTTTGTCACAGTAACGATAAACCAAGTCACCTTTGCATTAATAAAGAAATTTGCCATTTTCCTAATAAAGGGATTTTTGACATTTGAACCACTAACACAAAAGTTCGAAAAAAAGACTGAAATAACAGTTTTCTCTAAAATTTTATTGGGTAACTTAAACAATTAATAATCCGTATTTCTACCGCGAACACTAACAACACAAGAACATCGGTTTGGCATACTCAAAATGAGTTCATCCAAATCACGCTGTGGAATGGCCGCCCATGTTCGTTGCAACAACAAAAAAAGGTCTTCTTGCGACTGGATACCCTCCATATTCGGCAGAGCTCTTCTCTGTAGCATATCCCATGCATGCTCAATCGGGTTCAAGTCTGGCGACTGAGCAGGCCAGGGCAGGACATTGATGTTAGCTGCGGCGAGAGTCTGTCTTACAACTCTTGCGGTGTGCGGTCGTGCATTATCATGCATTAACTGAAATAAGGGACCGATTTGCACTTGTAGAGGAACGATGACGTCTGATACAATCGTCTCAGCATAAATTTGAGCGTTGAGGTTGCCTCTGATCCAAATCAACTCAGTTCTTCCGCCGATCCAAATACCCGCCCATACCATGATGGTTCCACCACTATAAGGATGGACTTCCTGGCAGGATTTTAATCGCTGTTGGCGTCCAGGGGTTCTCCAGTGTCGTATACGTCTTGTATCCGGTCTCATACCAAAACGAGACTCATCAGAAAAGCACACGAAACGCCATTGTTCTTCTGCCCAATTTCTGTGTTCAAGAGCCCATTGATATCGAATCCTACGATTGTGCATTGCTATAGGTGGTACCCGTAGCGGTCTTCGGGAATGAAGGTTCACTTCATGCAAGCGGTTTCTGACTGTTTGGTCGCTAATTAAGTTCCCTGAGAGTGATGAAGCCTCACGGCTAACATCATGGCGGTTATTGTTGGAGCTCTTCGAGTTAAGATTTGAATGTATCGGTCTTGTCTCCGTGTGGTGCAGCGATACCGTCCTCCATGGCGCTCAGCCACGGTACCAGTGCTTCGGTATCGTGTCCAAAGTCGACTGATAACACTCTGACTTGTATTCAGAGCTAAAGCCACAGTACGTTGCCGGGAACCAGCTTCTATCATTCCCACGGCTCTGAGCATTTCTTCCCTGCTTAAATGACGTCGCCGCTCCATAATAACGTTGGTTTTAATCAGTAGTAGGGAAACAGTAGCACTAATAATGTCTTCAATGCGTTGTATGTTTTTATAGGGAAAATATTGACAGCTGATTTTCATCTTTTACTCGAATTTGATTCACAGTTCCTGATTCAAATTATGAAATGCACCAAAAAGGATCCATATAAATTTATAAAATCATAAATTTATTACAAAGCCACATCTCAATCTCAAGAAATCCGCATAAAAATGCTTGATCGCTAGACACTTTTGATGTGTGTATATATACTTAAATGAATTTTATTGTGTAGGTACTTGGTTACCAATCCACGGTTTTCTCTTTTCATATTCATGAAAGTTGTGATTCATGAGGATAAATGGAAAATATATAGTAGGTACCACGGTGGAAATGGTTCGAAATTCAAAAGTTTTTTGCCTTCAAAATAGTTATTTATGACATTAGTGCGGTAAGTTGGTTGTTATAAAACGAGTAGACGAATGAAAGCCAGAGACAAAGTCGAGGGCTAACCATAGACACAAGTTTATAATTATCAATCCCACACAAAATTTCATACAAAATTTTCCAACACATTTGCGATAAAAAAACCTAATAAGTACCTAATTTAAGTAATTATGCAAATTTTTAAAATTCCCTTTTTTTCTCTTTTTTCTCTTCTCTTACTTCTCGCTTCCGAGGAGTTTCAACCGAACTATAAAAACCGTGAAGAATACGCACGGTGCCATGAATGGGAGCGGCTACACTAGTTTTTAAAAAACAAGACCAAATTCAAATTCAAAAAAAGCTTCTAATAAGATTTTTATTCAACTCAACTCGGCCCTATTATCATCCTAAATTGCACCTCATCAGTTTAATGTTGGCAAGGACACAGACTGAGTATTCAGTAGTAGAGACTAAACATATTCAGTAGTATCTTTTTCAGCCCAAACAAACCCGATCATTGGGGCTTCGCTCTTAAATAAGAGGTCAAGTCTTTTTTGATTGATTTTGATTGATATGACTCTAAATTCCTTGTAGTGTAATTTTAGAACACGAATGTTTTCAATGTACATAAGTGATTTATTCAAATAAATGGGCTTTAGTTCAGACATCGTTTGAAGACACTTTCAGAAAAAGTTAGTTTTAAAAAATCTTCCGCATAGCGAGCTTTCTGCTCGAAACGCCCACCTAAACGACGACGACAGGTACTAAATACGCTAAAATTTAGCCTTCCAAATTTGAATTTAGTTTTTTTTATAATAAATTATTCGGCTGCGTGTCTTTAGCCGCTAGACGATAGCTAGTTTGACTGGTAATTTTCGGTACGCCTAAAAGAGGTTGTGGGAGGCGATACATACATATGTACAGTAGAATGACTATAGAAATTAATTC